AGTAATAGTTGACAGACTTGTTGGCAATACTGCAGAAAGCCTTAAAGATGATAATGCTAGATGTTAAGATGTGTGATTTTAGTAACTGGAGGAGCCCTTTAAGATCAGGAGGCTGTTGAGGATTGTTGGAAGTCCTTTGACATTAGAGAGAGTATCACAAACAGTGCAGTTTTGGAGGACAGACCATTAAAAGTATGTGAACTGGAGTAAAGTATGGCTGGAGGCCTGTCTATGACCTTATGAATGTTTGGGAGGAGGAAGAGTGGCTGTCAATGTGTGGTGCCAGGAATGCATTTCCATAGGAGCTGGGCCCCTTTGAATGCTGCTCTTGTTAGAGGTGCCTAACATCTCTTCCTAACCATATATGCATGTACCTATATCATAGCGTTGTTCAGAAGGAGTAAATGAGATAACACGCATAAAACCCTCAACACAGTACCTTGATCATAGTGAAAAGGCAGTTGATGTTACATGCTGTAGTTGGTAACGTTCTTTCTCTTATCCGTAGGTTTAAATTTCTCATCGTACTTGAAGTACTTATATTTTGTTTTAATTTTTTGCTCTTCCCAGAGATCTGAGAGCACCTCCAGAACACGGAAAGATTTTTGTTGTAAGGCGATCTCTCTTAGAGTGAGTATTTTTTGTTGGTTTTGTTAATTATTAGTTTGAATTAAAAAAAATCAGACTATTCTGATTGTTAGAATCACTGCTTAATCTATGAATGGTTAATGAGTTTGTTCTGTATTCATGTAAATCATTAGTTTTGATACTTCTTTTTGTACATTTGTCTCTTGCTCCTTTTCTCTGATTTTCTGGTTCTGTATCTTGTTTCAAAGGAGGAATTAGAGATAAGAACAGTTATCTGTCCTCTGATAAATGCCTTAAAGTTGTGCTGCAGAGAATTGGTTACCTAAAGAGCTAGAACAAAAGTTTTCTAATTAGGTAAACCACTTCAAGAGAGTTTTGGTGTTGTTACCTTCTTGATATACAGGCATACCTCAGAGATATGGCAGGTTCAGTTCCAGACCACCATAATAAAGTGAATATCACAACAAAGCGAGTCACATGAATTTTTTTGTTTCCTGGTGCATATAAAACTTACGTTTACACTATACTTTTGTCTGTTAAGTCTGCAATAGGGTTATGTTTAAAATACAAGTATGTACCTTAATTAAAAAATACTTTATTGCTAAAAAATGCTAACCGTCATCTGAACCTTCAGTGAGTCATAATCTTTTTGCTGGTGGAGGGTTTTGCCTCCATGTTGGTGGCTGCTGACTCATCTGGGTGGTGGTTGCTGAAGGTTGGTGGCTGTGGCAATTTCTGAAAATAATACAATGAAGTTTGCTGCATCGGTTGACTTTTCCTTTAACGAGTGTTTTCACTGTAGCATTTGATGCTCTTTGATAGCATTTTACCCACAGCAGAACTTCTTTCAGAACTCGAGTCAGTCCTCTCAAAAGCCGCCACAGCTTTATCAACTAATTTGAGGTCATATTCTAAATCCTTTGTTGTCATTTCAACCATCTTCACGGCATCTTCACCAGGAGTAGATTCCACCTCAAGAAACTTTGTCTTTGCTTATCCAAAAGAAGCAACTCCTCATCCATGAAAATTTTGTCATGAGATTGCAGCAATTGAATCACATCTTCAAGCTCTACTTCTAATTCTAGTTCTCTTGCTGTTTCTACCACATCTGCAGTTACTTCGTCCACTGAAGTCTGGATCCCCTCAAAGTCATCCATGCGAGTTGGAATCAACTTCTTCCAAATTCTTGTTAGTGTTGATATTTTCACCTCTTCCTGTGAATAACAAGTGTTCTTACTGGCATTTAGAATGGTGAATCCTTTCCACAAGGATTTCAATTGACTTTGTCCGGATCCATCAGAGGAATCAGTATCTATGGCAGCTATAGCCTTATGAAATGTATTCCTTAACTAATAAGACTTGAAAGTCGAAATTACTCCTTGATCCATGGGCTGCAGAATGGATGTTTTGTTAGCAGGCGTGAAAACAACAGTGATCTCATTGTACATCTCCATCAGAGCTCTTGGGTGACCAGGTGCATTGTCAGTGAGCAGCAATATTTTGAAAGGAATCTTTTTTTTCTGAGCAGTAGATCTCAACAGTGGGCTTAAAATATTCAGTACACCATGTTGTAAACAGATGTGCTGTCATCCAGGCTTTGGTGTTCCATTTATAGAGCACAGGCAGAGTAGATTTAGCATAATTCTTAAGGGCTCTAGGATTTTCAGAATGGTAAATGGGCACTGACTTCAACTTAAAGTCACCAGCTGCATTAGCCCCTGACAAGAGAGTCAGCCTGTCCTTTGAAGCTTTGAAGCCAGGCATTGACTTCTCCTCTCTAGCTACTGAAGTCCGAGGTGGCGTCTTCTTCCAATATCAGGCTGTTTTGTCTACATTGAAAATCTGTTGTTTAGTGTAGCCACCTTTATTAACTGTGTTAGGTAGATCTGGATAACTTGCTGCAGCTTCTCCATCCGCACTTGCTGCTTCACCTTGTACTTTTATGTGATGAAGATGGCTTCTCTCCTTAAATCTCATGAACCAACCTCTGCCAGCTTCAAACTTGTCTTCTGCAGCTCCCTCACCTCTCTCAGCCTTTGTGGAACTGAATAGAGTTAGGGCCATGCTCTGGGTTAGGTTTTGGCTCAAGAGAATGTTGTGGCTGGTTTGATCCATTATCCAGACCACTAAAACTTTCTCCATCTCAGCAATAAGGCTGTTTCACTTTCTTATTATTGGTATGTTCACTGGAGTAGCACTTTTAATTTCCTTCAAGAACTTTTCCTTTGCAATTACAGCTTGGCTAACTGTTGGGCGCAAGAGGCCTAGTTTTTGTCCTGTGTCACCTTTTGACATGCCTTCTCACTAAGCTGAATTGTTTCTAGCTTTTGATTTAAAGTGAGAGATGTGTGACTTTTCCTTTCACCTAAACACTTAGAAGCCATTGCAGGGTTATTAACTGGCCTAATTTCAATAGTGTTGTGTCTTAGGGAATAGAGAGGCCTGAGGCAAGGGAAAGATGGGGAACAGCTGGTTGGTGGAGCAGTCAGAAGACACACAACATTTATCAGTTAAGTTTGTCATCTTATATGGTCGCAGTTCATGGCACCTGAAAACAATTATAACAGTAACATCAAAGATCAGTGATCACGGGGCCGGCCCGGTGGCGCAAGTGGGTAAGTGCGTGTGCTCCGCTGTGGCGGCCTGGGCTTTGCCGGTTCGGATCCCAGGCGTGCACCAACGCACTGCTTGGCAAGCCATGCTGTGGGCGGCGTCCCATATAAAGTGGAGGAAGATGGGCACGGATGTTAGCCCAGGGCCAGTCTTCCTCAGCAAAAAAAGAGGATTGGCAGTTGGTTAGCTCAGGGCTGATCTTCCTCACAAAAAAAAAAAAAGATCACTGATCACAGATCACCATAACAAATGTAATAATAATGAAAAAGTTTGTAATATTGTGAGAATTACGAAAATGTGACACAGATACATGAAGTGAGCAAATGGAAAAATGGTGCTGAAAAACTTGCTCAACACAGGGTTGCCACAAACTTTCAATTTGTAAAAAATGCAATATTTGTGAAATGCAATAAAGCGAGGTACGCCTGTATAAATGTTTTTCATCTCTTCTTTGTCTAGCCAGCTTAGAGACTTGATAGTTTTCTCAGATTTACTTATTTTAGAATGCTGATTATGTGGATTTTATGAAAAAATTAATAAGCAGTGTAAATTAATTGTGGTGACCTCATTTTGTGAACTGAAAAGTAAAGGTACACTTTGGGTAGGTGATGAATATTTCCTTTGTCATGCTTTCTGAGTAGATTATTTATTTACTCAGTCATTTATTAGGATACTGCTGTAATTTAACCTGTGTTAGTACAGGTCATCTGAAATAGGCTGGTGAAAATTATCTAAGTGTCTTAATGTTCGTTTCTTTAAAAATGTGTCTTATGCTTACCAAAATTCACTTTTCTGTGAGCCAAGTTCATCTGTATTATTTAACTTGGATGAGAAGGCCAAAGTTTTCTGAACATGTAATGTAGAATACTATTTCAGTGTTTTGCAACATTTTTGTTTGAAGAGATATATCTTTTAAAATCTATATTTGGGGGAAATGCAGGCTTTTCACATAAAAGGGAATATAAAACAATTACTTTGAACATTATAATTAAGATTTTAATGATAAAATTGTACTATATGAAAAACAAAATCAAAATGTGCTTTAATTAGAAAATGTTTTCGGGCTGGCCCCGTGGCTTAGCGGTTAAGTGCGCGCGCGCGCTCCGCTGCTGGCGGCCCGGGGTTCGGATCCTGGGCGCGCACTGACGCACCACTTCTCCGGCCATGCTGAGGCCGTGTCCCACATACGGCAACTAGAAGGATGTGCAGCTATGACATACAACTATCTACTGGGGCTTCGGGGGAAAAAATAAATAAATAAAATAAAAAAAAAAAAGAAAATGTTTTTAACCAAGAAAATAAAACACATATTCTATGGCTCAAGTGGGTTCTTATTAGAATTTTAAGATCCTTAATCTAGAGATTTAATAGTATTTTAGAGTCTTCAAAAAGTTATTTAGAAGATTAGCATACATCTTTCCAAAAACAAAGCTAAAAAACTTCAGTCAAGTGTGAAAACTTATTTAGAAAAAGTCATCTAGAAAGTCATTGCTATGCTTTAAAAGAAAAGTAGCTCAGTCTTAGTCAAATAAAAAGATCTGTGAGGATAGAAAGCAAAAGCATTTGTAAATGGTTAAATTTTAGACACACAGGGTGGTAGTTGGTTATATATCAACATTGTAGAAATGCTTTTGTGTGAATCTTAACATCTTGGAAATAGATAGTACTTCCTATATTTTAGTTAAGTATTGGGAGTGGAATGTAAGAATAGGATTTTTAAAAAACTTTAGCGTTTGAAATAGTTTCTGTGTTCCCTGTTTTCAGTGAATGGCTTTTTGTCTACTTTTGAAAGCCCCCACTTCTGGCAGGTTTTCAAGAATGCACACCATTTGTTTTCAGTGTTTGATATCTATGCTGTCTTCTAGGGGGCAGTATCATTACTGGGAGGAGCCTTTCCCTAAGCTCTTCCATTAAGTTTTTACGTTGGTCATGTCATTTACTACCTCTACAGCGGGTTTAATATTCTGTGATTACTGTTTTAGATGTTTTTGGAGGGTGGATTAAGCATCTTCTGAACTGCTTTGAAGTAAAGTCTTTATGGTGTTTTAAAATTAAATATAGATTATTAATTTTATTTGTTTGAACTGTCTTTACAGTGAGCTGTTTGAGGTGGACCACATCAGAACAATATATCACATGTTTATTGCCCTCCTCATTCTCTTTATCCTCAGCACACTTGCAGTAGATTACATTGATGAAGGAAGGTAAGACAAGAAAAAGGATGTTTGGTTAGTTGATTTAAATTATGATAAAGGGTGATTTGGTTAAATTTGCTTTAGAAAATCCCAGAACAGCTGATTTGAGGATGAGATTCCTCTCCTAAAAAATACAACTAAAAAGAATATTAGAAGTTTCATTGCTTTTGTTTTTAAAGTGGTCTATTTTAATAGACTGTAATTAGTTTCTAGGTAATTTTCCTAAATTGGAGAATTTTTTATATATGATTTACCAATATTTCTACTATGGTATGCATTCCAAGTTGTTACTAAAAATAAGTAGCTTATGGAAATTTAATGTTTGAAAAACATATTTCTTTTTAATATAAAAATCAAATTGTAACTTTAAAAATCTCAGTGTGGTAATCAGACACTGAATTATGGGCTTTATTAGAAAATTGAATTTTGAGATAATGATATAATAATATATTAATAGATTTTTGAATTGTACCTATTTCCTTCTGAAAAGTCATCTTGGGTACATAATAGTGATTGTTGTTTGAATACTTGATTAACTTTGCCATAGAATATTGTAGAGTTTAAAATTTATTAATGTGAGAATCTAATCTTTGAGAAGTGCAAAGTCTTATTATTCCGGGTTATCTTAGGTATCTTGTGTTCAAAGACCACATTATCTTAGGGCTTTTAGAAAATTTATTGTTCAGATATATTGTAAAGCAGAGGCTTAGAAGCAGTTCTCTATCTAGCACAGCTATTACGTCCATTACTTCAATTTATTAATGTTGTGTTTCCTAAGATTGAGAGTTTTGGGTCTGAATTGGATTGAATTCTATGAATCAATGCATATAAAAAATTCACTTTTGTGTTCTTTCTCTGTGCTTTTTCTCCCCAGGCTGGTGCTTGAGTTCAGTGTCTTTTTTTATGCTTTTGGCAAATTTCCTGTTGTTATGTGGACGTGGTGGACCATGTTCTTGTGCACACTTTCAATTCCCTATTTCCTCTTTCAACGTTGGGCCAGAGGCTATAGCAAGAGTTCTCATCCAGTGATCCATTCTCTCTTCCACGGCTTACTTTTCATGATCTTCCAGATTGGAGTTCTAGGTTTTGGACCAACATATGTTGTATTAGCATATACACTGCCACCAGCTTCCCGCTGCATCGTTATACTGGAACAGGTGAGGTTTTGAGTGTTGCCCAATGCAATGCTTTGCTTAGTTAAAATAATAACAATACTACTACTACTGATATTCTGTTATTTTTAGTTGTATTAGTTGGATAAATTTTCATGTCTGGTTCTTTGTGCTATTATCTATAAAATTAAACTAGATCATCTCATCTCTTAAAATTTGTTACTCAGTGTTCTTTGATTCTTGATAATTGAAATAAATTATATTGAAATATTCTGGATGAATTCAATTTTTCTTTTTTTGCTTGAGGAAGGTTAGCCTTGAACTAACATCTGTGCCAATCTTCCTCTATTTTATATGTGGGACATTGCCACAGCATGGCTGGTGAGTGGACTAGGTCCGTGTCCAGGATCTGAACCCACGAACCTGGGCCACCAAAGCAGAACGCGTGGAACTTTAACCACTCAGCCACGGGGCTGGGCCCTCAAATTTTTTTTTTTAATTTATTTTATTTTATTGAGGTCATACTAGCTTATAACATTGTGAAATTTCAGTTGTACATTATTATTTGTCAGTCACCATATATATGTGCCCCTTTACCCCTTATGCCCACCCCCAACCCCCTTGCCCTCTGGTAACCACTAATCTGATCTCATTGTCCTTGTATTTGTTTGTCTTCCACATATGAGTGAAATCATATGGTGTTTGTCTTACTCTGTCTGGCTTATTTCGCTTAACATAATATGCTTCATGTCCTGGAAAAATTCAGATTTTGTTCTTGAACACTTTCTGTAGAAGTCATCTAAATTATAAAATATTTTTGTAATTAAAAACTCTACTTTTGAAACGTCAGACATTTAAATAAAGGATTTATTTTGTTTATACACCCTTCAGAATTTTCTGACTTATATTGGCTATCTTAATGCTCTATTTGACTAGTAGAAAGGAACATTTCAGACTTTCTTTGAACCAGCTTTCTTAATTTGTAATATACTTGTAATAGATAGTGCTGTTACATGCAAAATTGAGTAATAACTTGTCCTTCTTTAGAGTTTGTCATTTGCTTTATTTTATAAAAGTGAACTTGAGTTGGTATATGCAAAATTAAGAAGTTCTCTATGTGACTATATTCTAGTGTTGTTCTGGGGTTGCTTATAGGAGATGGCAATGATACAAAATTCATCTTTTTGTTCCCCCCTCCTTTTATAGATTCGCTTGATAATGAAGGCCCATTCATTTGTCAGAGAGAATGTGCCTCGGGTACTAAATTCAGCTAAGGAGAAATCACGTATGTAATTACATTAGGTCAAAGGATATTTCAACCTTTGATGTTTACTGGGATGGCATATTACATTCTGTAGACATTGTTTGATTTTAAGTATATAGGATCCATATTGATTTGGAAGACTAGCTCTTTTTTCGTGTGTGTGAGGAATATCAGCCCTGAGCTAACGTCTGATGCCAATCCTCCTCTTTTTTTTTTTTTGCTGAGGAAGATTGGCCCTGACCTAACATCCGTGCCCATCTTCCTCTTCTTTATATGGGACGCCGCCACAGCTATGGCTTGACAAGCGTGCGTCGGTGCATGCCCGGGATCCGAACCTGCAAACCCTGGGCCGCTGCAGTGGAGCGCATGCACTTAACCACTTGTTAACCACTTCCAGGCTGGCCCCTGGAAGACTATGTCATTATTTCCTGATTGTTCCTGTTTTTCCTTTGTACCTACAATTTAAAGACATCAATCATTAGACTCTTCTAACTTTGTGTTATTTTTATAGAATTTATAGACTCATCACACCCATGTATGCTTACTCTTTTTGAATTGCTGCTTCAAACTCTAGAGGTTATCTCTAAGTCACAGCAATAACTTTGTTTAGAGGGATTGGTAATATTCAATTAATATAAGAATAAGAAGTCATCATTTTGGGAAATCAGGAAGAAACAACATGAGCTAAGAAGAAAGGTAGTTTTATCCTTCTCTGTCTGTGCTGCCTTATTTTCCCCTTGTAGTTGTGCTGAGAGAAATTGAAGAGCCTCTGATATAAGCTTAGTTTCCCTTTTTCAGGTACTGTTCCAGTACCCACAGTCAACCAGTACTTGTACTTCTTATTTGCTCCTACCCTCATCTACCGTGACAACTACCCCAGGTAACGGCACTGTGAAGTAGACATGTGGTGAGCACCAGAAGTGTGGCATGAGTGAGGTGGGATAGGCAGGGACCAGTTCATGGAGGGCTACAGAGAATACAGAATGAGTTTTAATTTTCTCACTGGCATGAGAAGCCCCAAGTGGTGATTCTGGCAATCCAGTTTGATTACAATGATTCTTGACAGAATTATACAAATATTTCATATGTCAAAAATGATGTTCTTTGTAGGACAAGATTGTGAGGATCTTTATTAAAGCTCAGTTATTTAGGGCCAGCCCCGTGGCTTAGCGGTTAAGTGCACGCGCTCCGCTGCTGGCGGCCCGGGTTCGGATCCCGGGCGCGCACCGATGCACCGCTTCTCCGGAAGTGCTGAGGCCGCATCCCACATACAGCAACTAGAAGGCTGTGCAACTATGACATACAACTATCTACTGGGGCTTTGGGGGGAAAAAATAAATAAATAAACAAATAATTAAAAAAAAAAAGCTCAATTATTTACTTTATTTAGAAAGCTTATTTTATTTCTTTTTAGGACTCCCACTGTAAGATGGGGTTATGTTGCTATGCAGTTTGCACAGGTAAATTTTTTTTTAACCTGCTTTAGGTTTGCTGATTGGTGGGAGATGAGAATTCGAATAATAATTTAATATATTTAATGCGTTGGTAAATTCATGTTTACTGGGATCTCTAGAACTCTTTCTGAAGTCTTTTAAACTATTCCCAGTACAGTAAGTGATGTTTGTATTGCCAACATCAAAGGTAATTTTCCTCAATGAAAGAATTTATTTTAAATAAAGTAATTGCATTTGGTTGCTTAAGTAAGCATCTACATTAATTTCCCCCTCCCCTCGTGGTTTTTTATTTTTGGATATTTTATGTGTGGGTGTGGTCTGACATCCCCCAACTCCTCCCCCAACCCGTTATCAGAATCATAAATTCTTGTCTCAATCAAATACCCATTTATGAAATAAATGCTTTTTTTTATAGGTTTCATGTAGCCAGAAAAGCAGGTTCCAAGAGTCTGATCTTCTAAAAATGCCATTTGATAAAGGGTTGGGAAAAGGTATGGTAGAAGCTAGGCTTGAGTAATATCTCTGAAAGATTACAGTTGGCAATCTTATAGACTAGTGTTAAACGGAATCTATTTGTAAACGTTAGTTTAAGGGTCACATTTGTATCTTCTTTTGAAGGAAAAAATCATCTTCCGTCTTTCCTTATCAAGTCATCATTATTATAATTATGTCTTTGTTATGTTCCAGGTTTTTGGTAGCTTTTTTTATGTATACTACGTCTTTGAAAGGCTCTGCATCCCCTTGTTTCGGAATATCAAACAGGAGCCCTTCAGCGCTCGTGTTCTGGTCCTATGTATGTTTAACTCCATCTTGCCAGGTAACATGGGTACTGGTTAAATTGGCCGTTCATAAAGTTGCAAGGAAAATAGAAAGCTATTACACGAGCCCCTTTGATTTTCCTGCTTTTCACTGTAAACTTATCTACCTGTCTATACCTATCTCGACCTCGTTCCATCAATCTAATTAATGAAGTATACTTCGGTGTCAGGTCAGTCTTTTCATTTGTCTTCTGTCACTCAAGTTTTGCTTTCTCTGACTGTAGATAGTCCATGTTG